TGTAGTTGTAACTTATTGTATATATAATCATTATGATTCTGTTAACTAACTATTTATACTTACTGTGTAGTCTTTACAATTTATGGTTTTAAGTTTTGAATGTATTGAAAAACAATTTTTTTAAAAATAAACTTTTAACAACAATTATTAAAAAACTATTGTTAAAATTTTTTTTTGTCTAAATGGTTATTATAAAATAATCATTGTGAAAAGTAACTTTTAACAATAATTTTTCAATAACCATTATTAAAATTTTATTTTTAAAATAAATCTCAATTGTTTTTTTTGGGACTTTTCACATCGATTAAATAACCGACATGGAAAGTCTACTTTCCACTTCATTTTTTTAGCTTTCCCTTAATAATCAATTTTAAAAGTTTAAGATAATCATGATTAAAAAGTCCTTCTTGCAATAATGTCTAGTCCTCATTTCGTTCATTTTCATTGTAGATGCATCTCGCCTGCTGTTCCTACCAGTATCATTCGAGAAGCATATGAAATTTTATCCGGAGTGTGGCTGTTTTTAATGGGTCATGGCAAGGTTTCTGAGATTAGCCGAAACTTGCGTTGTGTTGAAATAGGAAAAATCTACTACGACATATCCAAGATAATCGTGGGCTTCCTCAATTGCACTTTCTATGATAATGAGGACTCCAACCAGTTCACGAAAGAGCTTGAATCAACCTTAACAGAGTTTCAGGAGACTTATTACAATCTCGATGCCATGGGCCAGCCGATGATACGTTAAAGTCTATTTGTTCTAATTTGACTTGATAAAATCATAGTCCCTTTTGTCATTTAATTATATAGTCATTGTCATTCAATAATTACTCATTTCGTTTTCTTCCTTGTTAATCAAGAATATCTTATAAATTAAGACGGCGGAGAAAGTACTGTAAATTAGGGTTGAATGAAGTAAAAAAAAAGTATGCATGGAAGTCCAAAAGTCTGTCTTGTTTAGCCCGGAGCATCCGGATATAGTCTCTTTTGCTTGCACAATTGGTCCTCGTCGAATTGAAAATCCAAAATGCCTATGACGGAAAAGAACAGTGCATAGAATATTCTAAGTCTCTTGCAAGTTAGTTACAGTCATTGTCAATAATTAATTGGTCATTTCGTTTTCTTCCTTATTACAGTATACAAGGGTTCAGAACAATAAGGCAAGTTTTAAAATTAAAACTAATGGCTTTGTACAGAATCTAACCCACGATTCATATAAAAATAAGATGCCCACTTGTTGACAAAGTTTTTAATAATATATAAAAATAAATACATAAATAAATAAAATTATGCATCACTTCCTTGTTTTTATGTTGGCAACTTGGCATGCGCACATGTACTACTTACAGATGACGATATGGAAAAGTACTTGCATGTCAATTACGACTCCTTCAAACATCAATCATTTAAAATATTATAAATCTTCTTCTATTTGTTTTTTTGGTAAAGATGCATGGTACTCATCGATCAATTTGACACCCCCAAGTTGCCTCTAATGGAAAAGAACAATACATTGAATATTCTAGGACTCTTGCCGGGCCATTTAATCACAGTCATTGGCAATCATCAATTATTCATTTCGTTTTCTTCCTTACAAGGGGCAAGAACAATAATTAGGCAAGTTGTAAAGTGAAAACTGATGGCTTTGTACAGAACCTTACTTATTTAATATAAAAATAAGTGCCCACTTGTTGACAGAGTTTTTATATTATATATATATATATATATATATTCATTTTTAGGATAGAATTAAATATATAATCGTATAAATTCGTGTGTCTTTATTTTAAAACTTAAAAACACAAATATATAAGACTAAAACGATAGTATAATATTATAAATAAATATTACCGTTACTTTTCCCCATGCATAGATGTCCAGGTATTTCTAAGAAATTAGATTCAATTAATTAATTAATGGGTATGGGCTCAAGATTAGTAGTGTTAATCACGGGGCTCCAATGGACAAAACGAATATCTTCAAATTTGTGTCGCTATATATGTTCAAATTTTCTCGTGTGATAAAGATCATATACGAAATGATAGTAGAAAATAATTTAATTTTAAATTTGGTGCCTGTAGTTTATTTTGTTTTAATTAATATCTTATATATAGTTTTATTCATTAAATATGTTAATCCCTGGAGATTAAAATTAATAAATAATTAATCTACCCAAAACAAAAACACTATTGAATTTGATAGAAATTAAAATTTGATTTAATAATTTTGCAAAAAAAATTGATTTAATAACATGTTTATATCTTTATTAATTTTTTATAAAAATTATATATGTATAATAATTATTTAAAAAACATAACCTAAATGATTTGTCTTATTTTGACCCTTCTATAATTAGAGAATATGATATTCATTTAATTTTTAGTTTTTCATTTTTAGTATTTTTATGTAATTTTTTGAAAAGGATATGATTGCCGGGTTTTTAAAAAGAAACGTTATTTTCAAACTTTATGTAAATTAATTTTAAATTATATTTTAATTTTAAAGTTATATAATCATCTAGTAAAAATATAAAAGTGTTTAAATTTATCAACAAATATTTTTTTTTGGCAATCATCAACAAGCGTTAATTTTAGAGGAAGGGTTTATGACCTGAACATGCTTTTAAATTTATCAACAAGAATTTGAATTGATCAACAGTATTGGATTTGAGTTCATGTGAATCCAGAAAATATTTGTTAGAGCTCCCATCAATTAGACCCCACAAAGCTCAAATCTAACCCAATTAGATTACCATAAACACATGCACCCTGTATTATATATATATATATATATATATAATATTTTAATAATATAAATAAATAAATAGATAAATAAAATTATGCATGGCCATCACGATTGCGTAGTCTCGGAAACTTCCTTGTTTTTATGTTGGCAACTTGGCATATGCATATGTAATACTGGTGACGAGATGGAAAAGTACATGCATGTAAATTATGACTCCTTCAAACATCAATCTTTTAAAAGATTATAAATCTTTTTAATTATACTTTTATTGATATGTTATATAATTAAATATCTTAATAACAGCAATTGAAATTTAAATGGATTGCTTTTTTCAAAAGAATAGTAAATAATGTAAGGATCTATTTTATTCTTACTTTGGTGAACTAAGATTTAAATTTTCATTGAAGGAAGTGCATGATTGAGTCTCGAATATGATTGACTCTAATAGCTAGGAGGATAGCTTTGAGCAGTAAAAAAACATAAGGATATATATAAATAAAAAATATAAGAAATATCCAATGCCATTTATTTTTGAATTAAATAATTTTCTAAAAAATATCCTACATTATGAAAAAGAGGGAGTATATATATGTTATTTGGCTTCCCTCATTAAATAAGGCTAATAAAAATATTATAGATATGATTAAAAATGATATAATTGATTATAAACAAAATAAAATAATATTATTATCCAAAAGTGGAAAAAATGATTTCTTCCAATTAACCATGGAAACATGACACTACAGTATTTCTAAGAAATTCCACCGACGTATGGCCTTCAGAAAGCGAATCCAGCACGGAATGCGGACGACGTAACATGAATGTCTATATCTATTGCATTCGTCAATAATTTGACAGTAATTGAGTGGGACTAGTTATAATTAATTTAATATTTTTAAATAATATATAAAATTATAAAATAAATTCTTTCGCTTAGCTTGGAGCAGCCGCGTATAGTCTCTTTCGCTTGCACAATTGGTCCTCGTCGAATTGAAACTCCAAATTGCCTCTAACGAAGAACAGTGCATAGAATATGCTAAGTCTCTTGCAAGTTCAGTTACAGTCATTGTCAATAATTAATTGGTCATTTCGTTTCTTCCTCATTACAGTATACAAGCGTTAAGAACAATTAGGCAAGTTTTAACATTAAACTAATGGCTTTGTACGGAATCTTACCTGTGATTCATATAAAAATAAGAGCGCACTTATTGTATACAACTATTTATCGCAAGATAGAATGAAAAATATAATTTTATAAATTCGTATGCTTATTTTAAAACTTAAAAATTCAAATATATATATATATATATACGCGCACGCGACTAAAACATAATAATATTATATATAAATATTACCATTACTTTTCTCCATGCATAGATGTCAAAGTATTTCTCAGAAATTACATTGAGCACATAATTAATTATTGGTTATAGGCTGAAGAGGAATGCTTTCCGAACTACCGTCGCAAGTCAAAAAATCATTATAAAAGATAATTATGTTCCTGTAATTGTCGCCACAAAAAATCACACACATATGTATATATATAATGATAAGTACGGTTCCTATAATTTGTCTCCGTGCAAAAAAATCATATATAAAGTTATAAGGACTAAAATTTTGAAAATATGAAATAGAGACAAAATATCTCTTTAATGAATTGATCTAAAATTTTACTACTCTCATTTCATAATTTTCAATAATCAAAATTAAACAAGAATTTTCAACTGAGATTTGTTAATTTGTAAAAGAAAAACTTGTCAAACATATCATAATATCCAGTGATGTACTATTACTATACCCTTATTTGCAGCCCTCAAAACACGTATTCAAGTATGATTTATTAATTTGCGAAGAAAAATTTTTTAAATAATATTGTGCTTTAACAAAATTTCTTTCATAAATCAATGAATTTCAGATGTAAATTTTTTTGGCAAAAAAAAAAGAGGATGTAAATTTTTGTTTTGAGAGTCGTAAATTGTAGAATGAGGGAATGAACCGGGGAAGTATACTTTTAAACCAATAATTTAGAGTACATCGGGCTCTTAACTTCTATCTCATGTTTCCAAAAAAAAAATATAATTCATTATTTAAATTGAAATTCAATATTTTGTTCTTTACCGATAATTACGTTCCTGCAACTTGTCCCCACGCAAACGACCATCGCGGGAGAGAAATTTCCCAGAAAAGAAGTAACCCATAATACAGAAACGTGCGAGTGCTTTCTATGGCTATTTAAGCACTCAAATTTTCTCTCCTAAACACACATCAACAAACTCACCATTTTCGGAAAGAATAAGCTCCAAAAAACAAAAAAGAAGTGAGCGTGATGAGAAACAAAGCTTACGTTCTGTTCTTCCTTTCATTATCCCTTCTCTTTGTAGATTCATCTTCAGCTTCTTTCTCGCTCTCATCAATAACTCAGTTGCTTAAGATAGGAAAGATTTACTCATGGAGGCCGCATCCTACATATCATCATCCTCTGAGGAACGCAGCTAGTTATGAAATAGGGGAAAATATCACTTACTTATCCGATTTTAAAGTCTATCTTGATTATTACAATTACCTTAATACTTCTGACGTCTCCGATATCTACACGGATGAGCTCAAATCAGCCTTAAAGAAGTTTCAGAACACTTTCGGTCTCGTTTCCAACGGCCAGCTTGACAACGAAACTCTTTCGCTGATCATAACGCCGCGATGCGGCGTTCCTGATATTTTAAATAACGTCTCCATTATAATGGAGGATGGCACGATGAAGTTTAATAACTCGTGGTGGCCGACTGGGAAGAAAGAGTTCACCTATGCTTTTTCTCCAAAAAATGATACGACGTTGTCAAGGCCTGCGTTCTCAGATGCCTTTGACCGGTGGTCCAATGTGACGGGATTGTCGTTCACGGAGACGCCGTTGTGGAACGAGTCTGACATTCAAATCGTGTTCCGGCCGTTGGATGGAAAGGAAGGAGTGCTAGGTGGCCCCTTGTTTGATAACACCACGGGGAGCTTGGTCGTTTATTTGGACTCCAATGAGAGCTGGGCATCGCCGACTGACGCCATGCACGTGGACATGGAGTCGGTGGCGATGCACCAGATCGGACACGTGCTGGGATTCGGCCACGCGACGATACGCGAGGCGGTGATGTACCCTTTCTTAAAGCCGAAGGAAAAGAAGGTGGTTTTTGCGAAAGCTGAATTGGATAGCATTCACCTTCAGTACGGCGGAGCAGCTGGCGGCGTGGAGCCGGCGGGATGGAAACTGGTTTCAACTTTATGTCTTAGTATTGCATCTGCATGGCTTTTTTGGTTCTAACAAAGTAAAATAAAGAGAATTATAACAAAAATACCAATAAATTTTCTTTTTTTTTTTTTCAGATGCACTTAGTGTCTTTAAGTAAATAAGAGTGTAAAAATACTCATGAGCTTGTTTTAGCAAGTGCAATTTTTCTCAGACAATAAAAAATGGCAAACATCTGTTTGTTTTGTAGCTTGGGTCCCATGATCATGCTAGGCGTCAAAACTAATTGATGTTTGCTATTTTCACGGTCTGGGAAAAATTATAAAAATAAGTTCATGAATACTTTTGTACCCTTGTTCACTTAAAGAACTAGGTGTTTTTGGAGAAAAAATTTACAGGTATTTTGGTCCTATAATGGATCTTTTGGCATATATTTAATTGTATGGTGCAAAAACTCTTATTCAGATGTGTTTTACTTTTAAATCTGTCAATAACAATATTATTGTCTCGTTGGAAGTCTCCCGGGGTTGAAACCACTGTGCTTTTAGTTTGTGATAAATTTTATGTTAGGGTTTATTCGTGTATTGCATCTTGTCATGTCCATAGTGGTTCAGTTATTATTTATTAATGAAAATTCCTTTTATGCTTTCTTTCCTAGTTATTTAAGGCAGTGAGCATTAATTTTTAAAAATTCTTTGCAATATAAAGAAAATAAGTAAACAGTTTATTTTAATAATTTCGTGCAATATTACGACACGTGTATATATTATAATTTCTTAAGAAAAAATCACACTAGCTGTTTACTACTCATATATATATCACTGGTAAACTGGAGATAATGCAATAATTCTATGTTGTGTACTCATTTTCATAATACAAATAATTGAGCTGCCCAGTACAGGGTACTGGCTAGGTGAGGTGGGCTAAATCCTAAATCAACCAACCTCCTACAGTTAATATATGTTTTAGGGATGTATAATATGAAACTTCTGCTTATTTAAAGTTGTCTCAATTACCAATTTAATCTCTTCAAATCTTGATCAATTAAATTGAATGACGGTTACATAGAATATTCTAAGACTCTTGCCATTTAATTACAAGGGCTAAGAACAATTAGGCATATTTTAATATCAAAACTAATTAATGGCTTTGGATGTGCAGAATCTTGCTTATGATTCATATAAAAATAAGTGCGCACCTGTTAGAAGAGTTTTTGATATTGTATACAAATATTCATTTGATGATAGAATGAAAAATATAATTTTATAAATCCGTATCTTCATTTGAAAAACTTAAAAAAACTTAAAAACACAAATAGTATATATAACTAAAACAATAATAATATTATAAATAAATATTACCATTACTTTTCCCCATGTCTAGATGTCTAAGTATTTCTCAGAAATTAGATTCAATTAATTAATTATAGGTTATAGGTTCAAGAGTAGTGTTAATCACAGGACTTGGATGAACAAAACGAATGTTTTCAAATTTCCATCTCTATATATGTTCAAATTTTCTACAGTGAGAAAAATCGTTTGCAAAATTATAGGAGAAAATTAATCCGTATATTATTGTAATTTTTCTCAATTTTCAATTTGATACCTACAGTTCATTTTATTTTAAATAGAGTTTTATTTATTAGATATAGTAATCCTTGAAAATTAAAATTAATGAATGATTAATCTAGCCAAAAAAAAAACTATTGAAGTTTATAGAAAATTTGATTTATAAATTTTTTTATAAAAAATTGATTTAAAAAAATGTTTACATTTTTTATTATTTTTATAAAAATTATATATATATATATATATAAGAATTATTTAGAAAACATAACCTAAATGATTTGTCTTATTTTGGCCCTAACATAATTAGAGAACATGGCATTCATTTAATTTTTACACTTTCATTTTTATTATTTTTATGTAATTTTTTGAAAAGGATACGATTGTAGAGTTTTTAAAAAGAAACTCTATTTTCAAACTTTTTTAAATTAATTTTGAATTATAAAAAATATATGATTACTTTTAAAGTTATATAATTATCTAATAAAAACATAAAAGTGTTTAAATTTATCAATAAGTGTTAATCCTAATAGAAGTTGTTACGACCTCACAGTGATTTTAAATTTATCAACACGTGTTTAAATTTATCAACAAAGTCTTTGGATTTAAATTCGTGTGTAACATCTCAAAATTTAATTCAAAATTAATTAAATTAATAAAAAATAAATGAGTAATTTTAAAAAAATATTTATAGATAAATAATTTTAGTTAAAGGATTATTATTAGATCTAATTTAGAATAAAATATTAAATTATATTTTTTAGAAAATAAAAATAAAAATAAAAATTATTGTTATTATTAAAAAATAAAATAAAAAAGGGGATATAAATATAAAAAGAAAAAGAAAAGGGAATGGGGAACATATTATATCCATCGGTGTTTTGTGTGTGCAAGTGTGCAGGTATATTAAAAAAAGAAAATGAAAGGGGGAGTGAGATTGAGGGACCACAATCAATTAAATCAACACAGCTCTCTTCCTTTTTAACATTTTCCCTTTCCCTTTTTTATTTCTTTTCCGTGACTGAACAGAGAGACGAGCGCGTGCGATCTCGTAGGCGACGGGGAAACTGATTTAGAAGGTAAGGGTTTTTAATCAAATATTTTAAATGAAATTTTAAATATTTTAAGATTATATAAGTGTCTTAAATATTTTTTTTAGTTATCTTTTTTCTTGAGTTTTTAATTTTGTGGTTATAAAAAATATAGGGTTTGAAAGGGGATGAATTTACGATGAATAAATATAATTGTTCAGATTATTGATAGTATAATAAATATTTTAGAGTATTATTTTATTGATGGAATTTAAATTTGAGGCTTTTTAGTTAAACCCTAGACTTCTATGGTTAGATTTTTGGTAAATATAAAATTATAAGTTAATTTATTAATGACTAAAGGGTTATTTGGGAGTAGAAACATGTTATTAAGGCTAAAAAATGATGATTCTAGCCTTAAGAACAAGTTTACAATTTTTGAATATTTTTAGGTATGAGATTATAAAATAAAAAGGAAAATTTTGATATCAAAAAATTGTTTGAAAAATGATTTTAGCCAAAACTTTAATGAAACTATTATGAATGAAATTATTGTACAAAGCAAATAGGTTCAAATATATTAAGTAACCCTATTGGCATACTTGGAGTTTTGGATAGATTTAGTCTTGGGTATGACACCTTATAATGTGTGATTTAGGAGAAACTACGTTCATAGGTGAATAAGGTAACCCTGACTTGATAGCTTTTCACGATATGATTAAGGCCTTGGGTAGTCAGTCTTACCACATGGACGATTCACTTTAGTTGTTGGCCTAAGGATTTCATGTCAGAGGAAATAAGGGGGGATATAAGAAAGAGATTGATCATGCATTTCATTATTATTATGCAATTTGAGTAATTGATGGCTATGTTTAAGACTATGATTGTAATTGTGAAAATGAGAACATGTGATAAATATATGAAAAATGTACATGCAAGCGCTTGTGCCAATTTTGTACGAACATACAGTATTTGTGGGTAGTTATGCCAATTTTATATTTAACTTTATTATTGAGATTATTTACATGAGTTAGATATTAATATGATTAACATGATCTTGATATGATTATTTACATGGTTATCTGGATGAATTTGTTAGCTATTTGTATTCATGATTAATTATCATGCATTTATATAACTTAGATATATCTTAGTTATTGAGTGGTCATAGTCACCCTTTTCTTTTAACATATTATAGAAGCTAGCTCATATGAGAAGAACAAAAGAAAGGAGCATTAGACCAAGTGATAATAATAACTTCTGTAGGCCTTTTTTTTTTTTTATTTTGATACATGTATTTAGTTTATGATATTTTTAACTAGGACAATATATTCTTGATTCACTTACATTATGGATTTTGTATTGGGTGGAAATCTATTTGGGCTCTTGGGAATGTGGTTTGGTGCTTATGTTTATATTAGTGGGCAAAAATACTTGTGCAAGTGAAAATAGTTATTATATACATAATTTGAGAACTTGAATATTGTTCTAGTCTCCCCTTATGCTTTTTATGTCTAAGGGTAAGTAGTTGATATTAACTATATTTGAATGACAAGAAATATTCATGCATGTGATGAACTATTAATGAATCGATAATATACATGGAGTATGATGACTAAGTGATAATCATTTTGACAAATGTGATTGAGACATTGGCTTCTCATTGCCAGTTATGGATGGATTTGAGTGACCAAGTATTATGTTAGTGAATATATATATATACACACACACACACACTATGTGGAGTAGGGCACAGAGAGGAAATAAGGGGAAAGTTTTTCTCCCATCTTGAAATGTATTTCTTAATGCTTAATTAATTTCATGCTTCCGCACAAGTTTAATTGAATGATGAGTTTTTGAATTATTTTAAAGACTAGTGTCACACCCCAATATTAAAGATATGACCAGCATGAAATATGAGATGAAGTCATATTTCATAAGCCTTAATTGGTTCAAAATTTAGCTAAACTATCAATATATAAGTTATATACAATAATAAAGTTTGTGAACTTTTAAATGTTTAGTAGAAATTTTGGCATAGTCCCCCCTATAATTTAGACCACCTAAAATTTTCACAATAATAAAACCTGTTAACCAGACTAGCAAGAGAGACTAGCTCCATAAAAGCAAGCTATCTACTAACAAAATAAAAATTTGGCCTAACTATGGTGTACGTGGAGCTTTAATTTATGATTACAAAATACAGTAAATAATTTTACTAAAAAGGATAATTATAATGCAGTTCTTCTTTTCAAAAAGCAATAGAACCCCTCAATGATTTGCATAAGGAGCAGGGTTAGCTACAATATCTAAGACTAAAAATTTTTCGGTGAGTAATGTCCCAATTTGTAGTTGAAAGAATTAATAGAAGGCAAATCAATATAGAAGCCAAATCAATAAGTCAAACATCAAAGACTAGATAAATCTGCAAACTATAAATATATAAATTCAGATAGAATTATAAGAGGTTCAATTTTTCTTTCCTTCTTTTAAATTTCTATACATGTTTAAACATTTTGGAGATATATATATATATATATATTACTCAATATAAAATCAATACGTAGTAAAAAGAGAAGTTTGCTTCCTCTTCTTCTTCTTCTTCTTTTTCAAAATCCAATTTAAAGAAAATAAGTTTGAAAACTCTTTCTTTAGCGGGGCTTAACCAAAACGATTGACAAGCATGAACACATAGTCCATGAAGGTAACTAACCAGCAAGCGTGAACACATAGTCCATGAGGGTAAATAACCAACAAGCACGACTAAAAGCCACAAAATAATTCAAGCATGGCTAGAAGTCATGAAACAAGTGCAGGGACGAAACCTATGAAACAAGCGTGAGTACGATACTCACATATATCCATCCCTCCGTCCCACATGCGTTAGCTTGCACATGGGGTTAGCACCTCTTATAAACACCCTGCTAGCTAGATGTACCATAGCGCGTTAAGAGCTAACGGAACTGCTATTAGCAACAGCGTTCTAAAACCAGTCCCCTAATTTAAAACAAGCATGCATGGGTTATAAAAATAAACATTTTTTCTCTTTTCAA